CAAGTTACATGCAAGTTTTAGAAAGAGCAATTAATTGGAATGAAGTAACTTAAGGGTCTAGTTTTAATCCTAAATTCAAACAATTGATTGTTGGAGCTAAATTGCCATGATATTAAAACAGTCTACTGGCCTAGTTTTATTTAACATGCATTTGAACTTATACTACCTAATAACCAAACTAAAACAACGGGACATTATTAACTACATTACTATAACACTGTCCAGTTATACAGAAATGGCAGAACTTTTTTACGAAAACAGTAGTGTATAGAATGTCCTAAGTACAATCAGTAACAAAACTAAATCAAATTAAAACTCCAACTCTTTATTTGTATTCATGCTTCATGTTTCAGCTTACAGTAACTAGCATGTCAGTTGTGTACCTGATATTGGAAGCAAAAGAAGAGGAAGATCAGCAGAAATGCAGTAGCATATAACAACAGCAACACCCCGCAACCAGTAACAACCAATAACGAGAAACCAGTGACAGATTTTAAAATCAAGCAAAAAATCCAGCAATAACCAGTGAAGTAGTAGCAAATAACCAACCAAACTCAAGGAACAAACCAAATGAAAATCCAAAAAACCAACAACAATCAACGGGCAGAAACAAAGTGAACCTTTTTTAGATTGAAAGACCAGTTAATGTTTAACCCTTAAATTCTGACCCCTCTGTATATCCAGTGTATGCAGATTGTATATCGGGTGTATACTACTCTCTTTTAGATTTCCAGAATGTTTTTTTTCTGTTCCGGAGAATCCCCAATTCTCTCTTAATGTTCAGAAAATTTCCTCTAATTCTCTCTTAATATTCAAAAAATTCTCTCCCTCAACTTGTGTCAAGCTCTTCTTTATTTATAGCTAAACTTGAAGCACATAAATTAAATCTCACCATCTTCTCTTCATCCCCCTTTTGAATCCCACTACTTAATGTTTTGTCCCCCACTATATTAAACAAATATATTAGTTCCACTAACACATATCTTTTCTTTATTTAATTCCCTTATTCCCCACTACCGCATGTTTTGTCCCCCACTATATTAAACAAATATATTAGTTCCACTAACACATATCTTTTCTTTATTTAATTCCCTTATTCCCCACTACCGCATGTTTTGTCCCCCACTATATTAAACAATGTATTATTTTAATATTATTAGTACCTAGTGGACGGAGCACTCCAATTAATCATTTTTTAAGACTCATTTAAAATCCCGAAAATGCCCCTGAAACTACTGAAATTACCATTCTACCCCATCAGCTATATCCAATCCTCCTAAATCAATTAACCAAACTATAGCAGCTATAACCAAACTATAGCAGCTATAATCAATTTCCAACTAATAATCAAATTCTGCATAATAAACTTGCCAAACAAACTCCTAATCGACAACGTTCATGAATTAACAACAAAGTCAGATTCATATCCGAACAAACTCAGTAGAACAAACAAGTAAATACAAATCACTAAACTCGATCATCAATCGAACTTCGAATTAAATCCAACAACATTACAACAAAGGTAAATGATTCAAACTAAATCAAAAACTAAAGACCAACACATAAACACTCATACTAAATCACTTGATGAAAAACTAACGAACTTCAAACAAAAAATGAACATGAATTAAATCTAACTCAAACAAAGACCTGGGTTCGAATTCAAACTAACCTATCGGAACAAGAACATAATCATGGAAAGAAGAAAAGGAGCGGAATATGAATTTACTGAACGAAAACTAAAAGAAAAAAGAACGGAAACCTACTAGTTTGAAGTCCGGGTTCGAACGGAAACTCGACGCGCCTGAACAAACATCACTGTTTTCAACCCATTTTCGTTTTTGACGCAGTGACGATCGAGTTCATGGCTGGACGTAGCAGAAGCGATGGTGGTTGCTCATGTGGAGTGGTCGTTGTTGGTTTTTCCGGCGACTTGGGGTGTTGAAGACGTGACAGTGGAGCTGGCGTTTGGAATTGTTTCACAGCTGCTGTTCGTCGTGGGTATGGGTGGTTATGGTGGGAGGTCGTAGGTGGCGATGGACTGGTTCGTTTGGTTGAGGGTTGGAGTGGCTGGACAATGAGGTAGTAAGGATGGTCGTTGGAACGACAGAAATGGCGCGTTTCAAGTGGAACTTGGGCGGAGGAAGCTGGCGATCGGCGATGGCAGCGAGAAACGAGGAACGTTAGAGAGAAAAGGGACTTGCCGCTGGGATGTTTCTTGAGACGACGACGTTAGGGTTCAAGTGGGGAGGGATCTAAGATGGTGTTTGAAGAAGCAGCAACCGCTGCTTAAGGGTGTTCTTTTGGAGGAGTTCGCTGGAGTTTTTGAGATGGAGAAACAACGGCGATGGGAATGGGGTTGAGGGAGATGGTGGACGCTTGGTGCTGCTATGGAGGTGAGGTGGAGGGGAAGGGAGTGGTTTGGGGAATATGAAGAGGATAGGGAGGCGGGTGGTTTTAGGTTTTTAGGTTTAGGGTTTTTTCAAAAATGAAAAATGGAAGAAGGAAGGGTGTTTGTTTGGGGTTATAGGGCGGACCTGGTCGGGTCGACCCGGTGGGTTTTTTGGGTTGGATAAGGGGTTATTTGATTTTGGGCTTGTGGTTTAGAATTGAAGAAAAAGCCCAATCCGATTTTCTTCTTCTTTTATTGCTTCTTTTATTGCTTCTTTTTTCTTCTTTTATTTTTTCTTAAACTAAAACTAAATTCTAAAAATCCTAAATTATCTTATAGAACTAAATTAATTTATAAAAGTATTAATTAATTATTAATAACAATTAACACACAATTAAATAGCAATTACGATAAAATCACACAATTTGGACATTAAATGCTAAAAATGCAACGTACATTATTTTTATGATTTTTTTTTCTTGTAAAAACAAACTTAATTGCTCCTAATTGTAGAATTATATCCTAAATACAAATGCGACATATTTTTGTATTTTTTATTAATTTAACAAATAAACATGCATGGACAAATACAAATAATTATCAAAAATGCGGCGAAAAATCTCAAAATTGCACACAAAGGAAAATTGTTTTATTTTGAATTTTTGGGAGTAATTCTCACATAGGGCAAAAATCACGTGCTTACAATGGTAAATTAACAAACCTGCAAATCATTCAACTATAACCAAATTCAAATATAACAAAACTCTTAAATCTGAATTAACTAACTGAACTACTACTATCTGTTATCAGTCAAACCAAAAACTAAGAAATGTATAAAATTACACAAAAAACAGTATGAATAGAGAAGAAAAGAAAAATCGAATACTGGCAAACAAAAGAAAATCAAACAACAGGCAAAAGTACTAATCGAATTATCAAACTAAGTAGTTAAACAGGAAACAAAATTAAAGACTTAAAACACGTATTAAAAAAACTAAATGGACCTAAAACAAACAGGGAACAAACTCAAGAAGTAATCCTGGGTTCAAATCGGAACCCTAGCCTAAACCTAATGAAATAAGGAGAAGAAAGAAACGAAAGGAAGACACTAGGACTTACCAACTGGGCTTGAATCTTGACCTTCAAACTCGGATTTTATTTTTACTTGACTGACTTAAAATATGATCCCTAAATAATATTATATGTCTGCCCTTTAACAAATCAAACACATAATATCATTTTGGAACCATTTGAATACTGACAAACCCTTGAATCTGCAACTTCAACTTTGCCTAAACCCTAGATCTAAAATTTGAAAGGTTCAAACTGGATTTGAAGGGTTTTGGTTTGGGATTTGGGAAGGGGAGGTCGAGGAGGCCATGGGGTGTGATTTTGGTTGGGTTTGGAGGATTTTGGGGTTTGACCGCTTCTTTTGATTTAAGATTCGAAGGATTTGGCTAGGATTTGAGGGAAAAGGATTGTAGATTCGGAAAGAGGAAGAGGTGAGGAGGCTATGGTGTATTTTCGGTGAAGTTTGGAGAATCGCCGCCGGCGGAGGGTGGTGCCGGAGGTAAGGTACGAGGAAGAGGTTTGGTCTTTAGGGTTTCTACAACTTTCAGACATTTTTATTAAAACTCAAGATGAAGTCAGGGCAGTTGGATTATGATGGATGGAAGGCCAGGATTAATTCGTCATTTAGAGAACATGAAACGACGTAGTAACACCCCTATACTACGTCGTTTCAAAGGTCTGTGGGATGAGGCATTTAGACCGGGTATGGGTGTGATTTGGGCCTGAATTTGACCAGATTTTGGGAGGGGTTTTGGTCCAATTTGTGTTGCTATTTAGCACTAGCCCAATATCAGGCCAACCTGATTTTGTATCTCTTTTCTTTTAATTCTTTTCATTTATCTTTTTTTTATTGTTTCACCTTTAAAAATAAAACAAAAATTGAACCTAACAATTAATTAAACCTACCTAATTAAACTACAATAAAACTAATATCACTTTAAAGGAAATTAATAAACCTAAAACTAAAATTGAAATCACAAAACAAATCAAAGTTTCTTTATGATTTTTATATTTTGTACAAGCCTAATTACTAATTAGTCTAAATGTAAAATTAATTCCTAAATGCTTATGCAATTTTTGTATTTTTTATGACTTATCATGCACACATACATAAAATACACAAAAAGATACGCAATTAAATCCCTAAAACCAAATAATAAAAGAAAAAATCCTAATTCTAAGAATTCTATAGGAGTAATTCAAACGTGGAAAAAATCACGTGCTCACAGAGCCTAACCAAGTGTTTAGCTTGCACGGTCGCTCATTCTTCATTATTGAAGCGTATCTATGATCGGCAGTTTGATGACCCCCATTTGTGTGTCCTGAGAGACACGGTGCAGCGTGGGGGTGCCAAGAAAGTGACCTTAGATGATGATAGAGTCTTGAGATTGCAGGGGCGAGTTTGTGTGCCCAATGTTGATGGGATTCGAGAGTTGATCTTAGCGGAGGCCTACAGTTCCCGATATTCTATTCATCCGGGCGCCGCGAAGATGTATCAGGATCTGAGGCAGCACTATTGGTGGCGCAGAATGAAGAAAGATATAATTGCATATGTGGCTCGATATTTGAATTGTCAGCAGGTTAAGTACGAGCATTAGAGGTCTGGTAGCTTGTTTCAGAGGATTGAGCTTTCCGAGTGGAAGTGGGAGAGGATTACTATGGATTTTGTTACTGGACTCCCGTTGACCCGGAAGAAGTTTGGTATGATTTGGGTCATTGTTCATAGACTGACCAAGTCAGCGCATTTTGTTCCTGTTGCAGTCACTTATTCATCTGAGAGATTAGCTGAGATCTACATCAGAGAGATTGTTCGCCTTCATAGGGTGTCGGTATCTATCATTTAGGACCGGGGTACGCAGTTTACCTCGCGCTTCTGGAGAGCAGTTCAGCGAGAGTTGGGTACCTAGGTTGAGTTGAGCACAACATTTCTTCCTTAGACGTACGGACAATCCGAGCAGACTATTCAGCTATTTAAGGATATGCTCCGAGCCTGTGTCATGGATTTTGGAGGCTCATGGGATCAGTTCTTGCCTTTAGCGGAGTTTGCCTACAACAACAGCTACTAGTCCAATATTCAGATGGATCCATATGAGGCATTGTATGGTAGGTGATGTCGGTCTCCAGTTGGATGGTTTGAGCTGGGAGAGGCTTGGTTATTGGGTACAGATTTAGTTCAGGAGGTTTTGGATAAGGTCAAGATCATTCAGGATAGGCTTCGTACAGCTCAGTCTAAGCAGAAGAGTTATGCAGACCGCAAGGTTCGAGATGTGGCTTTCATGGTTGGCGAGCGGGTATCACTCCAAGTATCGCCTATGAATGGCGTGATGAGATTCGGGAAGAAGGGCAAGCTTAGCCCTAGGTTCATTGGTCCATTTGAAATTCTCGATCGTGTGGGGGAGGTGGCTTATAGACTTGCCTTGCCGCCTAGATTGTCAGCCATGCATCCGGTGTGTCACGTATCTATGCTTCGGAGGTATCATGGCGATCCAGCCCACGTGTTAGATTTCAGCACTGTCCAGTTGGACAAGGATCTGTCTTATGAGGAGGAGCTGATGACTATTATAGACCGGTAGGTTCGACAGTTGAGGTCGAAGAGTTTTCCTTCAGTGTGTGTTCAGTGGAGAGGTCAGACTCCTGAGGCATCGACCTGGGAGTCTGAGTTCGATATGCGGATCCGTTATCCTCAACTATTTCCCAACTCAGGTACTTCTTTCTTTTGTCCGTTCGAGGACAAAGAGTTGTTTTAGAGGTGGAGAATGTGACGACCCAAAGGGTCATCCCCTATTTCCTTATGCATTTTGTATCTTCGAGGCCTTGAAAACCACATTTTTAATTTCCTCGATTTGTGTGCGCAGTCCGAACGTGTAGCCGGAAAGCTTAAATATGAATTCTATGTAAAATATAATGAATTTTGATATTAATATGATTAAAGTTGACTTTGGTCAATATTTTGGGTAAACGGACCCGAACCCGTGATTTAATGGTCCCGGAGAGTCTGTAGGAAAATTTGGGACTTGGGCGTATGCCCGAAATTGAATTCCGAGGACCCAAGCCCGAGAAATAAATTTTTAAAAGAAACTGTTTTTCTGAAATTTATATGGAAATTTGAAATGTAAATGGGTTATAAAGTGTTGGTATCGGGCCCGTATTTTGGTTTCGGCATCTGATACAGGTCTTATATGTGGTTTAAGCGCATTTTGTAAAGTTCGGTTGAAAATGGACTCCGTTTGACGTGTTTCGGACTTGAAATGGAAAATTTATGTTTTATGAAAATTTGGAAGAAATTATGGATTTTGAGGCATAATTTGATGTAAATGATGTTATTTTGGCGATTTGATCGCACGAGTAAGTCCGTACGATGTTTTTAAGATTTTGTGTATGTTTGGTTTGGAGCCCCGAGGGATCGGATGAGTTTTGGATAGGCCACGAGTTGCATTTTTGAACTTATAGAACTGTTGGTATGCCTGACCTGCAGGCTTCGCGAATGCGAAGCCAGCCTCGCAAATGCGAGACTTCACCTGGGCAGCTTCCTTCAAAAATGTGAAGAAATCCATCGCAACTGTGATGCCCGCCTTTAGCCTCAGCCTTCGCAAATGCGATCATAGGTCCGCAAATGCGATAGTGACCCGTCGCAAATGCAACATATTCCCTCGCAAATGCGAACATCACAGTAGCCTTCAGAGTTCACAAATGCGAACTCGACTTCGCATTTCCCAGGCCTATTGGGTTCGCAATTGTGAACCCAAGTTCGCATTTCCCATATCTGAGGCCCAGCTATTTCATACTTAGACGAATTTTAAACCCCTTTTCTTCATTCTTTCAAAACACAAACTCCATAGGCGATTTTCCAAGAAATTTATCTTCTCCAAATCATTTGTAAGTCAACTTTTACTTAATTTCTTCAATTTAACATCATTAAACATGTTTTCATCTTAAAATCAAGAATTTTCATGGGTGAAAATGGGAATTTTGGGTAGAACTTAGGTTTTCTTAAAATTGGGGATCTGGACCTCAATTTGAGGTCCGATTTCAAAACAAACCATAGATATGAACTCATAGGGGAATGGGTAACCGGGTTTTGGTTCGAACCTCGGATTTTGACCACGGGGGCCTGGGGGCATTTTGAGAATTTTTGAGCAAAACTTTGGGAAATTCATTCTTATGCATTCAAATTGATTCAATTAGCATTTGTTGATACATTCAAGTAATTTGTGACTAGATTCGAGCGGTTTTGTGGTGAATTCGAGGGGTAAAGCTATACTAGAGGCTTGAGTTGGGTTTGGAGCATTCGAGGTAAGTGTTCAGTCTAACTTTGGCTTGCGGGATTAGGAGTGAGTCTTACTTGCTACTTGTTACGTGTTGTGTCTGACGTATAGGCATGGTGACGAGTATTTATACGTTGGGGGTCGAGCATGACCGTGAGTCCTAAATTGCTAAATTATCGAATTCTTAATTGTTGTTTATGAGAACTTGGTTGAAAATCTTTAACACTGAGCCAATAGCTGTTGAGACTGAGTATTGATTTAATTGTATGAAGTAGAAACTGAATAAGTTTGGTTATAGCTAGATCTCCCTTGCCACAATAGTTTAATTGATATCTTGTTCCCTTGTCGGGAAACTTATTGTATTATCTTGATCCCTTGCTGGGAATTTACTATGTTACCTTACTCCCTTGTCGGTATTTCTCTATGATATTGTGTTGAAAGGAAATTGGAGCGTGTGGTACGCCTACCACAAGATATTATGAAATGGGAACGTGTGGTACGCCTACCACGAGATATTATGAAATGGAAACATGTGGTACGCCTACCACGAGATATTATGAAATGGAAACATGTGGTACGCCTACCACGTGATATTATGAAATGGGAACGTGTGGTATGCCTACTTCATAATATTTTGAAATGGGGTCGTGTGGTACGCCTACCACGGGATATGAGGAATTAGGATCGTGTTGCACGTCTGCAACAAAAGGAATTTGAAACAAGTGAAAGTTGTTTGTTTTCCCTTATTCTGTGTTAGAAGAAATCAGATGTAGTTTCTTTTGTTATTCCTGATATGCTGTTTTATTTGCTACCCCATAAGCACGTTCCCCCTCCCAGCTTTAATTGTTTACTTTCCGCTGTTAGTTCGTTGTACTTGTGTGTGTGTGTATATATATATATATGCATAGGTTTGTTTGGTAGTCTGGTCTAGCCTTGTCACTACTTCTCCGGGGTTAGGTCAGGCACTTACCAGCACATGGGGTCAGTTGTGCTGATGCTACACTCTATGCATCTTTTTGCAGAGATCACGGAGCCGGAGCAGTTTTTGGACAGCAGTAGGAGATTTGGGAGCTGACTTCAGTCCAGAGCGAGATTCCGAGGTAGCCTTGCAGGCATCCGCGGGCCCGGCGTCTCCCTTATCTTGTTTTAGTTGTTATCCCATTGTATTTCGGGACAAACATTTTTACTCTTTCAAAACACAGTATTTAGAATACTCTTAGACGTTCGTGAGATATGTGACACCAGGTTTTGGGTAGT